GGGTCAGTGGAGGGTGGTTTGTATGTTTGGCTGTGGGCAAGACAGGAGGATGCTGAGCTTGTTCCTGAACTGAACCTATTGAAGAATGTGTTCAGTTCATTGGCTCTGTCCAGGCTTCCATCCTTCTGATCCTCCTTCTGCTTGAAGCCTGTGATCCGTTTCATCCCTGACCACACCTCTCTTGATATTGTTCTGTTGGAGCTGTCTCTCCAGCTTCTTCTTGTACACCTCCTTGCTGTTTCTGATCTTGACTGTTAGTTGCTTCTGTGTGCTCCTCAATAATTCCCTGTCTCTCTCCCTGAAGGCTCTTTTTTTCTGGTTTAGCAGTTCCTTCAGGTCAGTGGTAATCCAGGGTTTGTTATAGGGGAAGCATCTCACTGTTCTGGTGGGGATGGTGTTGTTTACACAGAAGTTTATATAGTCGGTCACACACTCAGTCATGGCACTGATGTCCTCTCCATGTGGCTGGCACAGTGCATCTCAGTCTGTAGCCTCAAAACAACCCCGCAGGGCTTCTTCAGCTTCCATTGACCATTTTTTCCACTGTTCTCTTTATTGCAGGTTGCCTCTGAACAAGGGGTCTATATTTAGAGCAGAGAAACACAAGATTGTGATCTGATTTGCCAAGAGGGGGTCTTGCTTTAGAGATGTATGAATCCTTGACATTTGCATAAAACAAGTCCAGCGTTTTGTTTTCTCTGGTAGAGCAGCTGACAAACTGTTGGAATGTTGGAAGTGTAGCAGAGAGTGAGACATGATTAAAATCCCCAGATATTGCAACAAACACACTAGGGTGTTGTGTCTGTAGCTTAGCAACCTCGGAGCTGATGACATCACACGCAGTCTCGGCAACAGCATTGGGTTGAATGTAAACAGTTGCCAAAATAACACTGGTGAACTCTCTTGGCAAATAATATGGACAACTTAGTGCTAACGGTTCAATATCTGGACTACAGAGACGACACTTCACAGTCCAGGATTACACCATCTGTTGTTCACAAGCACTGCCAACCCACCTCCTTTCCTTTTGCCACTCCTCTTTAAATCTCTATCTGCTCGTATGGTCAGAAAGCCTGGCAGAGAAACGCTGGAGTCGGGGATATGATCCTGCAGCCATGTCTCAGTGAAACACATAACACTGCATTCCCGATGCTCTGGATGAGTCCTTGTTAGGGCTTGAAGTTCATCCAACTTGTTTCCCAGCAATCTCACATTGCCCATCATGATCGATGGAAGAGATGGTTTAAACTGCATTCTTCTCTTTTTCTCTTCTTTGCTCCTGCTCTGCATCCACGACACCTCCTTTTCAACTCATTTGGGATTTGAGGCTGTAGGTGAGATATTTTTTGAGCTTTGGAGAGGTTAATCAGCTGCTCCCGGTTGTAAAAGAACAACCTTGTTGTTATGGTTACGCATCATAACAAATGTCCAAAAGCAAAGATATTTCTGTAAAAATCCTTCCAGCTGCACAGCATCCGACGCCAGAGGAAATAATCATCCAAAAAAAGCGATTTATATCCAGAAAAAAGAGGAATTAAAGTTTTCAAACGTAACATCTCAGAATAAAAGTAACAGAGATGCTCCAACATGCAGCCACCTTGAGCGGCGCAATTCTAGAACTGCTTACTATTACTATTATTTATATGTATCCGACATCTCATCTGACATTTAAAATCAATTCTCAATCTATTCCTATAAATTACAAGCACAAGTTTGTTGTGTGGGCACCGACCACACTGACCAGGCTAATAATTAAATATACAGTGAAGAACGACCTCATCATAGACATTTTAATCAAGGATTTAATTTACAAAACTCGGGTGGTTGTTTGAAACATGCATGTCACGTCCATGAAGCTTTATGGTTCACACATGACACGACTGTCGGAACATGTCTGAATTCATTCCAGTGACAAAATCAGCGTAGAGGCAGGTTGCCCTCATGATGGTGTGGAACGTACACTGAAGGCTAGTTGTGGAAGCTCAGCGGGGTCAAACCTCCACAAAGTCAACTGGCAGGAGTTACTGGGAACGTTTCATTCATACTCAGAAGATGTGTGCTACCTCACGTGATCAAGATGACATCATGTAGCACTTGTGAATAAAGCAGTAAAAACAGTTTGGAGACAGGATTGCAGGTGGTCCACAGCCTGGTGTGTGAGGGAAGTCGAGCGGCTCTCACCAAGTGATCAGGTTGAGCAACTTCAGGAAGTTCCAACACGTGCAGTTCACGGAGCCACATCAATAATTTGACCTGTCAAACCACAAACAAATCTTTTCTTATGTGGTGCTGAGAACAAAGCCCTGAGGTGGTCCAACCCCACAGACCCAAGCCCCAGAACTCCTGAATGTTCTTGACAGATGTTAAGCCACTCCTGACTGCTGGAGGACAACCTGGCAGTAGAAGGGCACGGCTGGAGGCCTTTGGGACAGCTGCCCCTGTGCAATCACTTGAGACGGACCATGACCCGCAGAACCCCGAGCAGCAGAGGTAACGTGAGAAAGCTCCACATTTGTAAATCAAGATGTCCTTGTGGACTTATTTGGACACTGGCTGATGTCCAACGAGCTGAGCCACCGACTGCTCCGTCTAAGCTGGTAATCTGTCCTCTGCCAGTAAATTAATGCCAGTCCTCATTCACCCCCACGAGCAGAATCCTCTCTTTCACACACTTGAATGTTCTGGGTAACGACCAGGAGATCCATTACAGCTGCTGCAAATGTCCCCGAGAGAGCCGAGACACATGCTACTTGTAGAACCCAAAGGGAAAGGTGGACCAAGTGATGACAGAACGTGCACATTTACCATGAGCTGTGGTGCAGGTGCACGTAACGGACCTCCAGAAAGGTTCATTTGTCCACTGGTTACAGTTCATACACTTTTTATTATTACAACAAAAGTCCTGCACAATCTGCAGGCAGTAAAACCCAGTTCATCCAGGAGGACGAGATACAAACAGACAACTAGTTTCATACGTTCCTTTAATGAACTTCATTCAGTTTTTGTGGCACGTGGTGTAAAACCAGGGTAAAGGTCAAAGGCTCTTTGGTCCTTCATGTGGATCTGTGTGAAAAAGTGCCATGCTGCTGTTGTGAGGACCTGAGAGTCAGAGGGAGCTCTAACCAATCACAGCAACTGGGAGGAGAGAGCCTGCATGGCTGGGAACGTGACCTGAAACTGCAGCAGGGACTGCACCAGTACACAGCTCCCATTCAATGAGCCGTGCACGGCAGCAGACTGAGCAGCCGTGCACGGCAGCAGTCAGGGACAAACAGTCTGAGCAGCAGTGGACAGACAGACAGGGACAAACAGTCTGAGCAGCTGTGGACAGACAGTCAGGGACAAACAGTCTGAGCAGCCGTGGACAGACAGTCAGGGACAAACAGTCTGAGCAGCTGTGGACAGACAGTCAGGGACAAACAGTCTGAGCAGCTGTGGACAGTCAGGGACAAACAGTCTGAGCAGCTGTGGACAGACAGACAGGGACAAACAGTCTGAGCAGCTGTGGACAGTCAGGGACAAACAGTCTGAGCAGCCGTGGACAGACAGTCAGGGACAAACAGTCTGAGCAACTGTGGACAGACAGACAGGGACAAACAGTCTGAGCAACTGTGGACAGACAGTCAGGGACAAACAGTCTGAGCAGCTGTGGACAGACAGTCAGGGACAAACAGTCTGAGCAACCGTGGACAGACAGTCAGGGACAAACAGTCTGAGCAGCTGTGGACAGACAGTCAGGGACAAACAGTCTGAGCAGCTGTGGACAGACAGTCAGTCAGGGACAAACAGTCTGAGCAACTGTGGACAGACAGTCAGTCAGGGACAAACAGTCTGAGCAACTGTGGACAGACAGTCAGGGACAAACAGTCTGAGCAGCCGTGGACAGACAGTCAGGGACAAACAGTCTGAGCAGCTGTGGACAGACAGTCAGTCAGGGACAAACAGTCTGAGCAGCTGTGGACAGACAGACAGGGACAAACAGTCTGAGCAGCTGTGGACAGACAGACAGGGACAAACAGTCTGAGCAGCTGTGGACAGTCAGTCAGGGACAAACAGTCTGAGCAGCTGTGGACAGACAGTCGGGGACAAACAGTCTGAGCAGCTGTGGACAGACAGTCAGTCGGGGACAAACAGTCTGAGCAGCTGTGGACAGTCAGTCAGGGACAAACAGTCTGAGCAGCTGTGGACAGACAGTCGGGTCAACAACAGGAAGAATCCACTTGAACTACAAACATGGAGGACAAAGCGAGCGGCCATGTTGGAGACCACATGTTGTTGATGAATGACGCAGGGAAAATAAACCAGCTCTTAATTTAAAGCAAATTATTTAATAAAGACCATTTCTCAAACGCAACTTAAATGTCTATAAACATTTAACACCTTGAACAAATTCAACCTGAACACGCAACAACGTGAAAAATTTCCGCGTGCGCGCATTTTTTTTTTTTATTACAAAAATGTCAAACCCACGTGACGATGGCTGCCACACCAACATGACATGTGTAACATGTAGCATGTAACATGTGGCTCATTTCAATCACATGCAGGGTCGATCAAAACAACACTTCTTCCAGGAAGTAACATGTTGCACCATTTTACTGTCAAGATGGTTTTTAAACACTCGCCACCTCCACCAGTAACCTCCAGCAGCCACCAGTAACCTCCAGGAGCCACCAGTAACCTCCAGTAACCTCCAGGAGCCACCAGTAACCTCCAGCAGCCACCAGCACAAGAACTCTGTAACATGTGTAAAGCTAGAGGGAAAGGTGGAATGAATGACTCAGCTGTAAACAGTTAAAGGGGAGGCGGCCATGTTTCTTGACGGCGGCAGCCAACTTGTTGTTGGGCCGACTCGTCCGCTTCCTGCTCAACCTGCGAGTCGTCAAAGAACAGTTGATCGTTTCTAACTCGTTTTACCAGCACACCGAAGCATAAGGCAGGCACGTGGCGGGGTCCGGCTACGTCTGGACCGACTGAAGACACACTGAACGGACTCAAACCTTGGGATGGTACGGAGGTCCCCCGTCCCTTTGGCGTCGTCCTGCCGCGAGAACCACACCTCCAGCAGCTTCTCGGTCCCCTCGAAGAAATGTGCACCGTTATCCTCCATCATGAGACAACAGACACCCAACAAAAAATGGTCAACGTCGATTACAACGTTTGTAGCTTAAATAATCCTTCTTCGATTAGCTAAATTTTATTGAGGTAAAGTCCTTTTTGTAATTCGGATGTTGATTTTCTTGTTACCGCGTTCCCTTTTACAGAGAAAACCGTAAGCGAGCGCTAGCTAATATCGCCGGCCATACTGTGTAAGCGCCGAGACCAGCACGCGAGGTGGTTTTATTTGGTCGAAACCTACGTCACACCTAAACTGACCAATCAGTGACCGGGCTTTAAACTCTCAAATATGATTGGTTCAGGAGCCTATCAATCACCTTGTTGCGAAGCGTTTACTCACGTGTCATTCGACTGCCCCTTCAAAATAAAAGACTGCAGGATTTATTTCAAAAGCGCATGATATGACCGCCACCAAAATAATAACAATAAAAGCTAAAAAAACTGAGTAAAGTATACGGTTTTTACTATATAAATGTCGGTGTATACCAGTGACATGTCCACGTGTGTTTGTTTTGCTTAAGTTTATGCAGCGTATCACATGCGTGGATTTAAAACAAACAAATCCAGCACGAAGTTGTGTTAGAATAAAGTAAGTTGAAGGTGAATGCTGGAGTGTGTAAATAATAACAATAATAATAATATAAATCGCCTGTCTACAATTAGAGCCGTCCATAAAAGTCAAGTGTGTGAATGGAGAGCAGTCATCGGTACATAAAGTGCAACAAAGTGCAAAGTGAAGCCCGGGTTGTAGTTTTTATCGAGTACAGTTCACCAACCAGCAAACGGCGGCACGCTTGCTCAAAAGACTACATTACCCAGTAAGCGTTGCGCGCAATTAGAAACGTCAACGAGCCAGTGAACATTAAGCGGAGCAGACCAAAATCCCAAACAAGGAAATGGTGGGGGAATAAACGAGCAGATTATTTAATTAATGCATGTAATAATTAATATTTTATTTTATTGTGATTTAAGGCGTATTTATGGGTTAAAATGGATTACGACTTCAAAACAAAGCTGGCAGCCGAGAGGGAGAGAGTGGAAGATCTGTTCGAGTATGAAGGTTGCAAAGTGGGTCGAGGCACCTACGGGCACGTTTATAAAGCTAAGCGCAAAGACGGGTAAGACCAGAGGACCTTGTTGTTGTTGTTGTTTGTTTCCCGGACCTTCGGCTGACCGCAGGCTGCATGTTGTGTACACACGTCTCGTGTACGTGTTCGATTTGAGCCGCTCGAAGCGGTAACCCGTGTCTTCGTGTTGTTGTTGTCATGTAACGCTCTCACCCACCAGCCGTCCCCCTCCTCACACAACACCTCCTCTGTCCTCCTCCTCTCCACGACGACACATTAAAGCCGCTCGAGCTGTTCACTTTGTTGACAAGCGTGTGTGCGGCGGTGTCCGTGAACGCAGCACGGGGTGTCACAAGGACTGGACACATTTTCAACACATCTGGCGCCTCTGCCGCTCTCTGGGGACCCACTTTTATTGTGCAATGAACGTCAAAGTCACTTGAAACACAGCGCACATGACAGCAGCAGGAAGAGGGACAGATATAAAAGTTGTAGCAAATGTGCTCAACTCTTTCTCTCTAGAGTGTTGCATCCAGCTCCATGAGGGTTATCTGGAAGGGATCTTCATAACCCAACCCTAACCTGTACTTCACCACTTTGTCTCCGACCCTTGTGGTGCAGTCATTATACGTGGTACTCAGTGCATTCACGTTACTTATATGTCTACACATGTCCAGTTGATGAGGGACACATTGAAGACCTGAAGAGGGTTGTGGAAGCTAGTCTTAGACTAGAAGTGTTGTGAGCAGCAGTATGGCTTCATACCAAGAAAGAGAACCAGATGCCATCTTTGATTTGCTGATGGAGAAGAACAGAGAGGGTCAGAAAGAACTCCATTGTGTCTTCGTGGATTTAGAAAAAGCATCTGACAGGATGCTGAGGAAGAAGCTCTGGTCTGCATGAAGAAATATGGAGTGGCACACAAGTATGATAGACTGGTACAGGACATGTATGAGGACAGCAGGACATGTATAAGGACAGCAGGACATGTATAAGGTCAGCAGAACATGCATAAGGACAGCAGGACATGTATGAGGACAGCAGGACATGTATAAGGACAGCAGAACATGCATAAGGACAGCAGAACATGCATAAGGACAGCAGGACATGTATGAGAACAGCAGGACATGTATGAGAACAGCAGAACATGTATGAGAACAGCAGGACATGTATGAGAACAGCAGGACATGTATAAGGACAGCAGGACATGCATAAGGACAGCAGGACATGCATAAGGACAGCAGAACATGTATAAGGACAGCAGAACATGTATGAGGACAGCAGGACATGCATAAGGACAGCAGAACATGCATGAGGACAGCAGAACATGCATGAGGACAGCAGAACATGCATGAGGACAGCAGGACATGTATGAGAACAGCAGGACATGTATGAGGACAGCAGGACATGTATAAGGACAGCAGAACATGTATGAGGACAGCAGGACATGCATAAGGACAGCAGAACATGCATGAGGACAGCAGAACATGTATGAGCACAGCAGGATATGTATGAGGACAGCAGGACATGTATGAGGACAGCAGGACATATATGAGGACAGCAGGACATGTATGAGAACAGCAGAACATGTATAAGAACAGCAGAACATGCATAAGGACACCAGGACATGTATGAGGACAGCAGGACATGTATGAGGACAGCAGGACATGTATGAGAACAGCAGAACATGTATGAGGACAGCAGGACATGTATGAGAACAGCAGAACATGCATGAGGACAGCAGGACATGTATGAGGACAGCAGGACATGTATGAGGACAGCAGGACATGTATGAGAACAGCAGAACATGTTTGAGGACAGCAGGACATGTATGAGGACAGCAGGACATGTATGAGGACAGCTGGACATGTATAAGAACAGCAGAACATGTATGAGGACAGCAGGACAGTAGTGAGATGTGCTGTAGGAGTGACAGATAGCTTCAAGGTGAAGGTGGGAGTGCATCAAGGATCAGCTCTTAGCCCCTTCTTGTTTGCTTTGATGGACCGACTAACAGATTAGGTCAGGCAGGAATCCCCGTGGACTATGATGTTTGCAGATGACATTGTGATGTGTGGTGAGAGCAGGAAGCAAGTGGAAGATAACTTGGAGAGGTGGAGGTATGCAAGTGTCTCCAGAGCTGCAGGTTCCTTGAGGCCTGAGACTGATGTTACATCAGTGCCAGGGGCCTGAGTTCAAGTGTAAAGGAATATTAGGGAGGGTCAGTGCCCTCACACCCTCCATTTCATCACTGTGCTGTAAAGCTGAGTCAGGGCTGCAGACAGTGTCTCTAACAACACAAGCATATTAGAGATGGGGTGAGGGGTCAAAGGTCAGCAGCTCTAACATCTGAGAGGACTGGGAGCCAGTAATGTCCAGAGTGTCATTTCAGATTCAGCACAGTGTGCGCTGTAGCATGTATGAAGTGGAGGAAGAAGGTTGACGCTTGCTCCTCACTTTACGACACATTTATTTTGCACTCGTCAGTTTATTTGATCAGCAAAAACTTATTACAGTAACGAGTGTACTGTTGGATCAATTAATTACCCTTTCAACGGCGTCAGATGCATCCGTAATGTGGGGGGACACATTGATGTGTGTAGGCGTGTGTGTGCGCGTGTGCATGCTCGTGCTTAAAAAAGGTGCACACTAATACAAAAAAGCAACGTTTCACCTAGATTTCCTTTAATTCCACACATTTAAAACATGTTTCTCACCAAGTTTGTGAAAATTCAGCTGTGGGTTTTAAACACATTTTAACTTTAATAAACTTTAATACAGAGCGTCAGATCGACATTATTTGTGTTTATAGAGAAATAAAACCATCACCACTGGACTTTTTTACTTGTGTTCAACACTCCTCATCTAAATGATGTTTCTCATGAAGCTTGAGGACAAGAAGGTGTGGGGTTTAAAGACATTTCAACTTTAATGCACCTGAACACACAGAGTCTCTTACACCTGCAGCGACTTACAACGTCACAGTTAAGCCCCCAGTATACTCCCACGTACGTCCATAAGCAGAGGTACGCACATACGTACGCAGAGGTACGCACATACGTACGCAGAGGTACGAGCGTACCCCCCAGGGCATGTCCGTGCAAAGCTCAATTTTTACGACCGCATACACAGTGTCGCACAATAAACTGCCCGGTGACGGACTTTTTTGTATGTGACACCAATGTATTAAATTCCCCTTCTTCATCCCTGATCTGGCCTTTTCTTTAGTTTTTTTGCCAAGAGGCAGTGATCTCTTCCTCCTCCGTTGATGCCATGACTGAAATGGTGAGAAATGAAGGAATTTGTCACGAGCGAATTAAACTCGGTCCAGCGTGGCTGCTGGAGGGTCTGGAGTTTTCATGGTGGGCTGGTCTGATGTGTGGGCTGCAGGACCAGCGCTCCCTGTTTTTTAAAAAAAATTAAGATGTTTTTATTAACAACATATAAACACAGAACACCGCTGTGACTGAGGCTGCCAGCGCTCGCTGTTTTTATTTTTTCCGATCTGTCAATCAATCCAGTAGGCGTGTCAGCAAACGACCAATCGGCGACCTCACTTTGTCCCGAAGGTGAACGCCCCTTGTCTGTGAAGCTGCTCTGCAGCTGCTCAGGGTGGACGCTGGAGTCTGAAGTCTGAACCCTCTGTGTACAGTACACGCGTACGTATGTGTGAACGGACGTACGCGGCAGTATACTGGGAGCTTTACTGCTAAGCTAAGATGCTACAGATGTAGCGCTCCTCTCAAGCATCCTCCTAACATGAATATATGTTTATGATCAACCCACCCTGGTCAACGACTGCCCGCACTAAGCTCGCTAAACTGGTGAGCGAGCAACACAGAGGTGTCCCCATCTCCTCCACCTGTGAGCGTTTTCTGCCCAAGCAGGAGACTCAGCTGCTGCTGCCTGCACAGTTTCTGCTCTGTGTGTAGCATTGGAGGTAACCAGGAAAACCTGGAGTGGACTTTTAGTGGTTTGACTAACTGCGCCGCCTGAACTAATGTTTCATAGTAAAAGTGTGTGTGTGTGTGTGTGGGGGGGGGGGGGGGACATTTTTTAATCTGGGGGGACATGTCCCCTTCACATATAATGGTTGGGATGCCTATGTATTTTCTCACTCAATTCTAT